ATACATGTAATTTTATTTTAATTGTTATCATTTTGTTATCCTTACCATGAGAAACATGAGCCCTTCTTAAGGTGGGTGGTGTTCCCGGAGGAGTGCCGATTTTGGCATCAATATGTTGTGTGACGTCACCCATTTCGTTGAGTAGTAGGCCTCTAGATAAATACCAAACATTTCAATTAGTTTCTCATGGATATTTTGCAGTTTCTTTTCCTTCAAAACATTTGATAGTTCGGATTGGAAACAACGTTTGCTGTTAGCACACACTAATACTCAACACATGCACCCCACTAAAAACAAAATCGTACAACGACAAAGTTTTAAAAGTAGGGGGCGATCGCACACATGCAAAGCACCAAAAATGTGTTCCAAGCTTACGCCAGTCTATTGAGAAAAAAAAAATGTTCGAACATCGCCCGAAATTACTCGACTTTGCATTTAGGATTTACGTTATGATTATTTTCACTTTGATTTTGTACAGTCTGACTGATATAACATTTTATAATTTTAACAACTTTCTAATTTTACATCAATAAAATACGTCTAATTTATTCTTCGAATACATCTAATTTATTCGTCAATCACTTTAATTTATTCTTCTAGTTACTTCTATTTAATTTCATAGTCACATTAATTTTTCTTTCGAAGTACATCTATTTTATTATATCACTTAATTTGATGATTTGAAATTATAACCCAATAACTTTTGTTTTCGTTTCACATTCTTTCTTTTTCCTCGAATTTCAGGCACGCGCCGACCTGTTGCTCGGAAACACGATAAGAAGACGGCGTTACTGTATATGCTCGCATCTTTATGCCTTCTACACGTGCTCAACTCGGCGTCATGGCGTCGCGCCTTTGTTAAGCCGGTCGAGACAACATGTAACGCTTGCTATCAAACTTCCAAATTTTTTTTTATTACGACAGCCTCTAAAACACTCGCGATGCTACTATCTTCAATAGATTTATTTTGCACTATTCCTCTAGTAACACTCACGCTTCTAAATCGCAAACTTTTAAAAACTCACATTTCTGTGACACTCCCACTTCTAAACTTAAACCCACATTTTATATCGTGTCATCTCTATCTTTTCGTCTACTCTCTCTAGCTTCTAAGCCACTCGCGATTTCATCAATTTTTCATCTACACTTTTTCGTCTAAATTACTCACTTCTACTTAGTTGATTACTTGTCAATCTTTGCGCAGCGGAAGCGTGCTGGGCCCATAACCTAATGGAAGTTTAGCGGAGGATAGAATAAATGATTGACACAAGATTCTATTTTAACAGAGAGATTTATTTGTACGTCTCGCAGAGAGTTGTGTACAGTCAGACGGTTACAATCCAAGTGAAGCTTAACATACATATATTGGCGGCTCGCAGGCCGCTATACGCAACTATAGTACACACACACTCTTACAGAGTGCGCGCATGCGCACACATATGAAATACTGAGAAAGCTATCTTAAACATTAAGCGAAACACTTTCTTATTTACATCATTAAGTATACTTTGATTGCTTACAATAAATTGCATACAAAAGCATAACTTACTTTAATAATGATTCAAGAAATCGCAATAAATTATGTTTTATGTTATATGTTAGTATAATATATAATAATTCATTTTAAAAAATCAAGAGAAATCGAACTATCAATAATCTTAATAGAGCTGGCCAAAGTTCAGCGCATGCCTTAGCATTCGCAGCTACTGCGACTATCACTATCATGTATAAAACAAAAATGTTACATATGTTTATCAAGAGTCTAGAGGTTTAGGATTAAGTTACGAATAATAACCATTTAATGTTGTTTGTTTTATTATCTTATTCACCCTTTCTGTTTCTTATACACTAGTGGAAAAAATTAAAGGATCAAAAAAAAATTCCAAATTTTTTGACGCTTTTTAACTCGCTGTATTTCCCTTGGAAATGGTCGTACTAGAATTTAAAAAACGCGTTTTCAAGTTTGAAGTTTCTAGTTTTGAGATCTCATAATCAAAAAATTTTTCAAGCAAAATGTTCTGCTCAATCGCGCCTTGCGCAATTGCCACGATATTCGCATTGATGAAAGGTTCACGTCGAACTTGTCGGACAATCGCCGACAAATAACCCTATAACCCATCTATTTGGAAAGAACATACTATAACGAATTTAATTCATTCGTTATGTCTCTCTCTTCCCACACATGCATATATATAATTCTTATACTTATACTATATTCAGATTCATATTATATTATACAGCAGCCTGCAGCAGCCGACAACGCCGAAGTATAAGGTAAGAGAGAGAGCGCGCTATGTCTATTAACGAGCCTATAGGCAGAGAGAGTCGCGTTCGCGTGTATGTGTGTGTGGTCGCGCTGCCGAAAAGCGTGACGAAAGAGTGGGGACGCCTCAGAGGCGAATTGACTGGCGGAGTAACGCCAGCGACACGTGTTTGGAGCGCACGTGGAATATCAGGTCTTTGCTCGGGCAGTTGCCGCTGTTTAGCGATTCTCTTTTTTGACTTTTTTGACTTGACTTCTCTTTTTTTTTGCGTAATCCGACTTCCAATCTGGCGTTGCCTTGGTTTGTTCGCGAATGCGTGCAGTGGTGCGGCCTTTTGACGAGACTGAGTGTGTGCGTGCAAGGACATAGCGCTAGGTAGTCCCACACTTCGTCACCACTGCGACCGGCGTCCGGGAACGCTGTTCAGCGAGCGAACGTTATTTGTACGGAGGGCTTGGCCATTGTCGCCTCATTGTAAGTACCAAGTCGTTTAGCTCTCTCTTGCTTGCCTGCTCGCTTCTCTCTCTCTTTACCGATTTGTTACTCTTTCCTTTTGATGCTATATATAAATCATGTTTGTCCCTCTTATTCTCTGCGTTTCTCTGACTCTGCGCCCGACTCTCATTCCCATTCCTTGGTGAATTCCCTGCGCTCGCCACTACTTTTCGCGCTTTTCAGCCACTGCTACCTGCGACGCTCTACGCGGGCCACGAGGCTGCTTGATATCGAGGCCGGCTAGTAGGCTTGGCCACACATGCGCCAGCGCCCTAGCCTTGTGGCATTACTTATTAAACCGAGCTGTCAACCAATCCATCCTCTCGATTGTAACGGCGGGTGAGCCAAAATCCCGTTATAATACAATAAAATTAGATTATTGTTTTTGGCATATATATTAATAATTTTGAAAAAGTAAGAGGAGTGCAATTAAAACGAGCAAGGGTTCAATTTTTTGCCTTATTTTTTTGCAAAAATATCAAGTATTACTAAAGATATCGCAGATGCAAAAAACGAAAAAATTATCATAGTTTTTAATTTTTGTTGGTACAACTGAAGGGGTTCAATTAAAATAATGAGCATTTTTGGAGGGTTCAATTAGAGATATTTCGAATGGTATTTTTTTCCACTGTACATTACACTTTGCTGGCTGTGTTAAGGAGGGTGGAGTAAGGACCTCCCTTACTCCAGCCGGAATGTTACTAAAAAAAAACACCGGTCGAAATATCTCTAACTGCACCCTCCAAATATGCTAATAAATCAAACTGCTCCTTTATGGTTCATTAGAAAAAAAATTATAAATAATCTGACAATTACGGAATCTTTCAATAGCGATAACTTGAAAAAAAAATTGTTATCTTCAAAAAATAAATATCTGACAAAACTGTACCTTGGCTAATCTTAATTGAGTCAACTTTATTTTCCGAAAAATATTTATACTAATGATAAATAATTGATAAAAACGATTCTCTCCTTACCAATACTATAGTAATGAGCAGAGCGCATGCGCGATTTACGAAATTGAGGCGGGAAGATTGGACGATATTGGATTTCTGATAAATAACAATTTATTAATTATAGATATAACACCCTATCAAAGCACAATAACACGAGTACACATTCATAGATTCCACATTCTCTTTCTCGTTATCTGAAAAATCTTTTAAAAAAGTATGGAAACAATAATATTTTCTATTGCTACATACTAATATCGCTGAGAAACATTTTCTCTTTTGCTCGGTAACGAGAAACTAAACAATACAGCGGTCGTTGCGGACACTGATAAATAATTGTTTATATCTCATATCTTTCTTTAGGACAAATGTCAAAATAAAATTTTTTAAATTTCTTTTATAAGTTATGCTATCTTCACGGTTGCGATGAATCTGTACTCGTATTATTGTGCTTTGATAGGGTGTTATATTTATAATTAATAAGTTATTGTTTATCAGAAATCCAAAATCGTCCAATCTTCCCGCCTAAATTTCGTAAATCGCGCATGCGCTCTGCTCATTACTATAGTATTGGTAAGGAGAGAATCGGTTTTATCAATTATTTATCATTAGTATAAATATTTTTCGGAAAATAAAGTTGACTCAAGTAAGATTAGCCAAGGTACAGTTTTGTCAGATATTTATTTTTTAAAGATAACAATTTTTTTTCAAGATATCACTATTGAAAGATTCCGTAATTGTCATATTATTTATAATTTTTTTTCTAATGAACCATAAGGGCGCAGTTTGATTTATTAGCATATTTGGAGGGTCCAGTTAGAGATATTTCGACTGGTATTTTTTTTTTTTAATAACATTCCGGCAACGGCAAGGGAGGTGGAGTAAGGGAGGTTGAGCATGCATTCTAGTTTGGTTGATGAATATTAGCCTTTAATAATAGACATAAACGGTTTTACATTTTCAATTGCATAAATATTTAATAAATGTTTAATGCGGGAGTTGTTTTTTTCGTGAAATGAACTATCGATTGACACATTGATTATTTTTTTTAGAGCATATTATGTTGACTTATTCATTGAATGAAATATGAGCGTTAGGTGTCGCAACATCCAAAAGATTTTTTTAATGTTTAATGACTTATTTGTTAACGAGCAATCAAATATTTACAACAAAATTTAGTGTTTAATTAATGAACAATCTAATACCATTATTAGCTTTTCGATTATATGAAAAAAAAACTTATAGATACTAACTTTTAGTAACCGTAATCTCTGTACTACGATATTATATTTTGTGTTTGTATTGTTAGAATAATAATAGGAAAATATTTATTGTTCTGCATTTGAAATTGCATTGTTAATAAACTAATAAGCTTATTGGTTACACTGTTGCACAAGTAAATTTTTTTCTGAAATGATTTTTGTATGAATAGTAAAACTACTTTCTGTTATTTTATTGATATTTTATTATATTTATTTTAAAAATTTTTAATTTGCAGTAAAAACTGCGCTTTTGGCATTCATCCCACAGATTGTTACTGTAATCTTTTATTGAAATCAAATTTGCTGTACACACTGACGAATGATTATTAATAAATGATGGTTAATTAGTTGAGTGGCGAATGTGCTGAACAAATAAGTATGGATATAAATGCAATGAAAAATAATCATATCAATTTGAAAAACAATATGCTTTGGAAAGAAAATACTAATTTCACGTTTTAATGTATTGAGAAGAAGATATATTGTTTACCTTATCAGAATAATTTCTATTCAGGTATGTAGATGTGTTTTTTAATCTGTTAATTAATTGAATGATTATTCGAGTGAGTGAATAATACATGTTAGTGACTGAATTAATAATATATATATTATTAATTCAGTTAGTTGTTACTTAAATAATTTCATAATTTATAATCATATTTCATCATATCAGAAATGCCATATATTTAATTTAAATTTTTCATATTCATTTTTTGTTCATATGGTTTGGGTAATAGCATTAATATTACTTCAAAAACTAAGTTCATAGTGTATTCTACAAAGTTATACAAGGTATAATATATGCATTAGCTTTGGTTCTCTATCTATATGAGATTCATGTAGACCCGTCTTCAGTATCATTTTCAGAAGGGTTGATGAAGTAATATATCATAACATATATGATGAATGTATTAACGATATAAAGAACCAGAATTGTGATAACAAATAAAATATTCAATTCCGGAGTTTGTTGGATTCATAGTGTTTTAGATAAAATCTCAAATTCTGGCCACTGAGCCACCATAACACATGTATGAATATTTGTAAGATCATTTTACTTTAATTTGAAATATATGAACTAGATGATTTGATTAATAATATTAACTCAATCATGAGAAACAGTAAAAATAACAGTTAAATCAGATGATTTAATATATTACCAATACGTAAATAAATTGAATATTTCCAATATTAAGCTAGACATTAAAGGAATGAATAAATTATGGTATATCTAAATTATTTCTAAAAATTTGTTAACATTATTTATTTAATTTTTTATAAAGAATATGAATAAGATATATAACATTTACCTTAAACTATGATTTATCAAAAAAAAATTGTGTTAAATTATATTTGAAATATAATTTCTAAAAGAATTGTTCTTAGTGTAGCTCAAAATTATATTAGAGAAATAGAGTATTAACTTAAAGTTATTTTAAATAATAAGTTCAGCTATTGTACTGTACCAAATATTAACATTGAAAAATGGCGAACATAGAAATAATTATCAATAGACTAAGGAAGAATTAATAATTTATTTTTGTTAGTTAATATTTGTGAAATTTAGAAATCTTTCTAATTATTCTTGGCCATATACTTGCTATTATAATTGGTAATAAGCAAGGAGAATTCAATGCTGGTTTCTAATTTGGTTCAACTCCTGAAAAAGAGAAATCTTTATTTCTAGCATGATTTGATAAATGTAAACACACTGCATAGATTGCTTGTTTCTAGCTATCACTTTGCTTATTAATTTGAAAATGTCAACTTTGCATGTATATTATTTATACATAACATTTTATGTTTATGGTGTTAAAAGTGTAAGAATAGCACATTTGGACTGTAAATAGTACTCTACTCCCAGATTAGAAGAGTGAAAAAGTAGACATGTAGCGAGACTCTGGACATTGTTGTACAAATGATCTAGACACGTTACGAGTACATGAAAAAGACATGAGTTTGAAGTTTGGAACGTTCAACTTGAACGAAAAAAACGAAATTTAGAAAAATGCCTTCTTATCAAAATTAATCGCTGAAATTCAATATAATAATGATAAAATGCCAAAACAAAACTATTGGAATCACCTACCACCCTCTAAAAAATACCCTTAAAAATTAAGACATTGTCGAATATTGTTATATGTTATTTAGTACAAAATAATTAATTATTTTCAACAACAATTATTTATTCTTATGTAAAATCATGAGTGAAAATTTTGAGCGCTTGGAACTACCCCGAACCACCCCTAATTTCATTTAAACAGGTAAGAAAGCAAAATTTATATCTTTTAGCTCTAATTTGTTATTAGCCACTAAATCGTTTTATATTTACGCATATAATTATTTATTGTCATGTAAGGAATTGGTGTACAAAGTTTGAGCGAGCGGAACGATACGCAACTACCCCTAAGTTAATTTAACAACTAAACACATATGGGGAATACGCAGTTTTTGGGCTGCCATTTGTTATTAGCCACTCGGTATTTAAATTTTTTTGTATATTATTGTTGAATGTCATGTAAAGAACTGGTGTACAAAGTTTGAGCGATCGGAACGATACGCAACTACCCCTAAGTTTCATTAACAATTTACGCGATCAAGGAAATTCGCTGTATTTACGCCCCCATTTGTTATTAGCCACTCGATATTTAAATTTTTTTGTATATTATTGTTGAATGTCATGTAAAGAACTGGTGTAAAAAGTTTGAGCGATCGGAACGATACGCTACTACCCCTAAGTTAATTTAACAACTAAACACATATAGGGAATACGCAGTTTTCGGGCAGCCATTTGTTATTAGCCACTCCTTTTTATAGTTTTTTTGCATAAACTTGTTGAATGTCATGTAAAGAACTGGTGTAAAAAGTTTGAGCGATCGGAACGATACGCAACTACCCCTAAGTTTCATTAACAATTTACGTGATCAAGGAAATTCGCTGTATTTACGCCCCTATTTGTTATTAGCCACTCGATATTTAAATTTTTTTGTATATTATTTTTGAATGTCATGTACAGAACTGGTGTACAAAGTTTGAGCGATCGGAACGATACGCAACTACCCCTAAGTTTCATTAACAATTTACGTGATCAAGGAAATTCGCTGTATTTAAGCCCCCATTTGTTATTAGCCACTCGATATTTAAATTTTTTTGTATATTATTTTTGAATGTCATGTACAGAACTGGTGTACAAAGTTTGAGCGATCGGAACGATACGCAACTACCCCTAATTTCATTAACAATTTACGTGATCAAGGAAATTCGCTGTATTTACGCCCCTATTTGTTATTAGCCACTCGATATTTAAATTTTTTTGTATATTATTTTTGAATGTCATGTACAGAACTGGTGTACAAAGTTTGAGCGATCGGAACGATACGCAACTACCCCTAAGTTTAATTAACAATTTACGAGATCAAGGAAATTCGCTGTATTTACGCCCCCATTTGTTATTAGCCATTCCTTTTTTTTACTTTTTTTGCTTGACATTGTTGAATGTCATGTAAAGAACTGGTGTAAAAAGTTTGAGCGATCGGAACGATACGCTACTACCCATAAGTTAATTTAACAACTAATCACATATAGGGAATACGCAGTTTTTGGGCTGCCATTTGTTATTAGCCACTCGATATTTAAATTTTTTTGTATATTATTGTTGAATGCCATGTAGAGAACTGGTGTACAAAGTTTGAGCGATCGGAACGATACCCAACTACCCCTAAGTTAATTTAACAACTAATCACATATAGGGAATGCAAAAAAACTATAAAAAGGAGTGGCTAATAACAAATGGCTGCCCGAAAATTGCGTATTCCCTATATGTGATTAGTTGTTAAATTAACTTAGGGGTAGTTGCGTATCGTTCCGGTTGCTCAAACTTTTTACACCAGTTCTTTATATGACATTCAAAAATAATATACAAAAAAATTTAAATATCGAGTGGCTAATAACAAATGGGGGCTTAAATACAGCGAATTTCCTTGATCACGTAAATTGTTAATGAAACTTAGGGGTAGTTGCGTATCGTTCCGATCGCTCAAACTTTTTACACCAGTTCTTTACATGACATTCAACAAGTTTATGCAAAAAAATTATAAAAAGGAGTGGCTAATAATAAATGGCAGCCCGAAAACTGCGTATTCCCTATATGTGTTTAGTTGTTAAATTAACTTAGGGGTAGTAGCGTATCGTTTCGATCGCTCAAACTTTTTACACCAGTTCTTTACATGACATTCAACAATAATATACAAAAAAATTTAAATATCGAGTGGCTAATAACAAATGGGGGCGTAAATACAGCGAATTTCCTTGATCGCGTAAATTGTTCATGAAACTTAGGGGTAGTTGCGTATCGTTCCGATCGCTCAAACTTTGTACACCAGTTCTTTACATGACATTCAACAATAATATACAAAAAAATTTAAATACCGAGTGGCTAATAACAAATGGCAGCCCAAAAACTGCGTATTCCCCATATGTGTTTAGTTGTTAAATTAACTTAGGGGTAGTTGCGTATCGTTCCGCTCGCTCAAACTTTGTACACCAATTCCTTACATGACAATAAATAATTATATGCGTAAATATAAAACGATTTAGTGGCTAATAACAAATTAGAGCTAAAAGATATAAATTTTGCTTTCTTACCTGTTTAAATGAAATTAGGGGTGGTTCGGGGTAGTTCCAAGCGCTCAAACTTTTTACACCAGTTCTTTCCATGACATTCAACAATAATATACAAAAAAATTTAAATATCGAGTGGCTAATAACAAATGGGGGCGTAAATACAGCGAATTTCCTTGATCGCGTAAATTGTTAATGAAACTTAGGGGTAGTTGCGTATCGTTCCGATCGCTCAAACTTTGTACACCAGTTCTCTACATGACATTCAACAATAATATACAAAAAAATTTAAATATCGAGTGGCTAATAACAAATGGCAGCCTGTAAACTGCGTATTCCCTATATTTGATTAGTTGTTAAATTAACTTAGGGGTAGTTGCGTATCGTTCCGATCGCTCAATCTTTGTAGACCAGTTTTTTACATGACATTCAACAATCATATACAAAAAAATTTAAATATCGAGTGGCTAATAACAAATGGCAGCCTGTAAACTGCGTATTCCCTATATTTGATTAGTTGTTAAATTAACTTAGGGGTAGTAGCGTATCGTTCCGATCGCTCAAACTTTTTACACCAGTTCTTTCCATGACATTCAACAAGTTTATGCAAAAAAACTATAAAAAGGAGTGGCTAATAACAAATGGCTGCCCGAAAACTGCGTATTCCCTATATGTGTTTAGTTGTTAAATTAACTTAGGGGTAGTAGCGTATCGTTCCGATCGCTCAAACTTTTTACACCAGTTCTTTACATGACATTCAACAATGTCAAGCAAAAAAAGTAAAAAAAGGAATGGCTAATAACAAATGGGGGCGTAAATACAGCGAATTTCCTTGATCGCGTAAATTGTTAATTAAACTTAGGGGTAGTTGCGTATCGTTCCGATCGCTCAAACTTTGTACATCAGTTCTCTACATGACATTCAACAATAATATACAAAAAAATTTAAATATCGAGTGGCTAATAACAAATGGCAGCCTGTAAACTGCGTATTCCCTATATTTGATTAGTTGTTAAATTAACTTAGGGGTAGTTGCGTATCGTTCCGCTCGCTCAAACTTTGTACACCAATTCCTTACATGACAGTAAATAATTATATGCGAAAATATAAAATGATTTAGTGGCTAATAACAAATTAGAGCTGAAAGATATCAATTTTGCTTTCTTACCTGTTTAAATGGAATTAGGGGTGGTTCGAGGTAGTTCCAAGCGCTCAAAATTTTCACTCATGATTTTACATAAGAATTAATAATTGTTGTTGAAAATAATTAATTATTTTGTACTAAATAACATATAACAATATTCGACAATGTCTTAATTTTTAAGGGTATTTTTTAGAGGGTGGTAGGTGATTCCAATAGTTTTGTTTTGGCTTTTTATCATTATTATATTGAATTTCAGCGATTAATTTTGATAAGAAGGCATTTTTCTAAATTTCGTTTTTTTCGTTCAAGTTGAACGTTCCAAACTTCAAACTCATAAAAAGACTTGTTTTTAGCGTCATCGGATTTTCATCATTGCGACTCTTAGAGACCCTCAGGATTGAGTATTTTCCTATATAGACAGTTCAAGTAATCAATTAGTTAGTTGGTTAATTTTATATGATCACTGAGCTCCAGGTTGTTATTCAAAAGTTAAGCTTGAGTAAACAATAGTAACACTATCCCGCGTGCCTTCGGTTCGCCGGGCGAGCATAATATTAAGATAGACGACGGAAATGTTATAAATAGTTCAAAAAATGACGAAACGAGAACTTACATGCAATGTAAGAGAATTTAACTCTTACTGAAAACAACATGGTAAATAGACGATAATAAACTTTGTAACTCGCAATCAAATAACAACAACAAAACTTACAGCAAAGTTGAAAATATAAGTTCACCTTCTTCACTAAACAAAACCTACAGCGCTAGCACATTTGAGCCTATGTAAATACCGACAGACTATTTAGAATTACATGGAGGCCCTACCATATTCGGGTAAAATACAGTACACCTACAGATAAGTGGTAAAGTTGTAGTAAACAGATATAAGTGAATTATTTAAGTCAAGAGAGACAGTAAAACGAGATGTCTTATTATCTTTCAGAATAGAAATAAGGTTAATCTATCACTGACAATAAATTCAATTGCCATGGATTAAAACGTTCATCCCTGGCCAACTGCAAAGAATCCCATACATCAAATGACAGAGAATGTAGAACCTTTATATAAAATACCCTTATCAATTAATAAATGGCATATGAATACATCTACTGCAAGGCAAAACGTTTGATGTTTGGTACGACTTCTTCAACATCTAACAATACAAAGGCATCCTCTAGACTCGTCACTAACGTAACGATCAATCTTACCAAAACTTTTGTTGACACAAATAAAAACACTGACTTACAATTCAGACCAACTGTATCAAAATAGTAAAAATCTCAATAGATGAAATAAGAAACACCTACATTTCAAAGAATCTTTTCAAATGCCACTAACAAGAATACTGCTTCTTATCAATAAGGTTATGTCTGTCCAAATAACCGTGATGCTACATGTTTGGAAAAACTTCAACATCGTCTACAGCCTCAATTCCAACCTCAACAGCAGCCGTTGCCGTAACATCAGCAGCAGTAGCAGTCGGAATGACGGCGACAAGAGCAAAAGCAACATGAACCGTAACGATGACGGTAACCGCCGTTACCTTATATATAGGTTAACCCTTTCAGGGGCGGGTTCCAGTGTTCTGGCACCCTATTTTTCCTCAATTTTTTCTTTATAGCTTGAATAATCTGAGTTTTAGATCGCTTTAATCTTTTTTGTTTGAACACTGGATGCTTGGGGAACAGGTTTTTTAGGTCAAAATTCAGAATAGCACTATATATAATTCTTTATAAACAATTAACAAACAAGATAAGGAGAGATTTTTAATGAAATTCGGGTTTGAGCTCATTTTACGACTAAATTCGCTGATATTTGGTATACGGGGGTTTTCAAGGGTGCTGATTACGAATCCAGTATCAGATTTTGGAAATTTAAAATGGCGGATCCAATATGGCGGCTTCGTCGCAAGAAAAGTTTACAAAATTCAATTATTTCAGCTGGTATTGCCTGCACATGGGTTTTCGAGGTCGCTGATAACGAATCCAGTATCAGATTTTGAAAATTTAAAATGGCGGATCCAATATGGTAGCCTGATTGTAAGTAAAATCTAAATAAATTTAATTATTTGAGCTGGTATCTATGTAGGGGTTTTTGAACGTGCTGAATACAGCCTGATTGTAAGGAAAATTCACAAAATTTTGTTATTATAGCTGTTATCACTTGTTTTTGAGGTCGTTGATGATGAAATGAGTCGTGGGTGTAGAAAACTTAAAACGGTGGTTCAAATATGGTGGTAAAGTTTTCATAAAATGTACTTATTATTATGTATTTCTTTTCGGCTAGATATTTGATTGCATCCGAATTATCCCAATAGGGTGGATAAATTTTTTTTATGACGATTTTTAGTATACTAGAAAAAGAATATCTGAGAAAGAAAAAACAAGCTTTCATGTATGTGAAATTTTGACCGTGTTAGAGATCACGTTTGAGTAGCGGGCTAACGGTCAAAATAGTGTGATCATAGTTTTCACTTTGTGATATATTCCTATTTTATTAGTTGAATAAAAGAGGAAAGTAGTATCGATAAATCAAGAAATTTTGACCGTGTTAGAGATCACGTTTGAGTGGCAGGCTAACGGTCAAAATAGTGTGATCTTAGTTTTAACTTTGTATTGAATTTTCTTATTGATTAGTTGAATTAAAAAAAACAAATAATTTTGAATAAAATAGTGATTCTGAAGAAGAGTATGAAGGATATCAAATCCCATCAGACGATGAATCTGCCGATGGAAATGACATAAGCGATGAAGAAGGTTGTGACCTGAATGTAGACTCTGGAAAACATTATGAGAATGATTCTCGTAGGTTCGAAAACAGTAAAATTTCATCAGATGAAACTTGGTCAAACCTTTACTTTTCTATAACTTACTTTTCATACAGAACGTTGGGCCAAAGAATATTCCTGATACTGTCATAACACCTGGAGATATTTTCTTGATGCTCTTATCGGTAGAAAATATCGAAAACATGGTTCAACAAACAAATCTATATTATCAGCAGAATAAAATTAAGAATGACGTTCCAGTGACTGCAGATGAGATAAAGAAATTTATTGGAGTGAACATAATGATGGGGGTCAAACGTTTACCGTCTTATCGTGATTATTGGTCTTCAAATCCTCAGTTGAATGATGCTTACATAAGCTCGTCAATGCTGGTCAAAAGATTCTCTTTTCTGCTTAGTAATTTGCATTTGAATGATCAAACTAAAGAACATAAAAAAAAGAGAAGCTAATTTCAACAAATTATACAAAATAAGGCCATTTATTGACAGAATTTTTGAAACTTATATGCAATATTATGATCCAACCAGAGAGTAATCTATAGATTAGAGCATGGTACAGTTCAAAGGCAGAAATACTATGAAGCAATACATGCCTCGGAAACCCATAAAATGAGGATATAAGATATGGGTAAGATCAGATATGAACGGTTACATATATGAATTTTAAATTTACACGGGAAAAATTAATGTTACTGAGAAAACTTTAGGAGAAAGAGTTATCATGAGTTTATCTCAAACTCTGAAAAATAAAAATTACCATATCTATTTTAGCAATTACTTTACAAGTACTAATTTGATGATAACATTATTGAAAGATGGAATTTCTGCCTGTTGGACAATTCGAAAGGACAGAAAAGGTCTTACTAAAAATCAAGGAAAAGATAAAGACATGAAGATGGGTGGCAACGAATACCGTACGTCAAATGATGGCATTAGATATTTGAAATGGGTAGATAAAAAACCAATTCATTTTTTATCAAATTTTCATGATCCATCTGATTTGTCTGAGGTAGAGAGAAGACAAAAAGATGGTTCATTGAAGACTATAGCTTGCCCTCAAATGTCGAAGGATTATAATGCTCATATGGGATGTCTTGACAAATCAGATCAGATGAAATCATTCTATGAAATCACAAGAAAAAGTAGAAAATGGTGGCACTGCTTACTATGGCACTTCATAGATGTCACTCTTGTCAACTCTTTTATAATTTTCAAATTACTCAATCCTGATAAAGATTTGAAATCGAAAGAGTTTCGTTTATTAGTTGTAGATGAGTTGATAGGACTAAATTGCCAAAAGAAGCGAGGAAGACCATATTCAAATAATCCCAAAACTCCTGCTTCAAAAAAAATCAAAACACCTGAAAGTATCAGGACGTCAGGACAGAAACATTTGCCTGGTGTTTATGAAGGACTCTACCAAAATTGTGAGTTTTGTAGTACTAAAAACAATCGACTTCGATCCCAATTCTACTGCATAACATGCAATGTGACTTTATGCATCAAGTCGAAGAAAAATTGCTTTGCTGAATATCATAAATAAAAAACTACTGCAGCATGGTACTGAATATCAAATTCATATTGAGCAAAGCTACAATTAGATTCTATTGGTAGAATTTTCAAAATATTTATTCACTAATTTAGATTCATAATCTTTATTTTGAAAATTCGGGACTACACCCGTGATCAGTTACTCTACATTGCAAACTAAAAAATAATTACAAACTTATGTAACTAGTAGAAAATTTTCTAGAATGCTGAAATCAAAATTAGCGACTTCTCAGACTCCCGTATAAAAAAAATCATTTTCTAATTTCAAATGTTTCACCAGCCATATTGCATCCGCCATTTTCAATTTTGAAAATAGGAGTTCAGATTCGTAATCAATGACCCTAAAAACCTAAGTATACAAATTTTAATTTATATAAGCTAATGTTTGGAAATTATGTACGCCATATTGGATCCGCCATTTTAAATTTTGAAAATCAGACTTCATATTCGTAATCAGCGACCCCGAAAACCCTTATATACACTTTCATGTCTAGGATAAGTGCAGCAGAAAAATGTGCCCCTGAAAGGGTTAAATAAAGATAACAGTAAGAATGTAACAAATAATAATATGAGTGCTGTTAACTCTACGATACTTAGAATTAACCCATTAACGTCCAAAATGTCAAAATTTCTTGCACGTTTTCAAAGTGATTTTTTCCTATGTAATTGGCGTTGAAAAAATTCTTGAACCACATATTCTGATGTAAAATTGCATGCTCTTTCAGAATCCGTTGCCAGAATCATGATAAAACTCACAGGAAAAGAGATATGCTCGATTGAAACATAAAAAACACCTAAATTTTCGAAAAAAAAAATTTTTAGGATTTTTTTTCGAAGTGTCACGGTGAAGATATCACCTTGCGACCGTGATCAAAGGTGATCATGGGATTTGAAGTTTAACAGGGAATTTTTTTGTTTACCTTGAACCATCGCTTCTTTACAAAATGGCGGAAAAAACGAATTTTTTTTTTTCAATCTTCATCAACTTTTTTCTCAAAATCTATGGTCTTTAGAAAAAAATTCATAAAAACAAAAATGCCTTAGAATCGCTCGAGGAACATTCTCAAATTTTTTCAGAATTTTTTGAGACAATTTTTGATTTTCCGGGAAACTTGGGAAATGGAATTTTCAAAAATGTCTCCAAAAATTCTGAAAAATTTTTAGGATGTTTCTCGAGTGATTCTAAGACATTTTTGTTCTTATGAATTTTTTTCTAAAGTCCATAGATTTCGAGAAAAAAATTGATAAAGTGAACATAGCGGCCGAAACGAATTTTTATTTTTTCAACTTTATCAATTTTTTTCTCGAAATCTAGGGACTTTAGAAAAAAATTCATAAGAACAAAAATGTCTTACAAGGAAGGTACCCGAGGTGTACCTCACCGATTTTCTTGAAATTGTGATATGTTGTAGAACATCAAAAAATATTCGACGCATATTTTTTTATACGTGCCCATAAGCCCATTTAAGGGGTGAAACCCACCCTTGAAGTTCACCCCTAAAAACAAATTTTTTTTAATTTCTCGAATACAATTCGTAATTTTTTACTGAAACAAAGTGGGTAACACTTGTTATTGAAAAGCACATATTTATGCATTGTTTTTAGTCATCAGACTCGTAACCCCCGTTTTTTATTAATGAAAAACTATATTTGATGACCATTTTTTTCACTATACACATTCCAAAATCTGTTAAATCTTGACAAAATTAATTGTTTTATGCACAATAATCAAAAATAAAGTTGACCTGTTCCGGCATTTTCAAAAAAAAAATCCCTTGAGGGGGTGAGCTACCCCTAACATTTATACTATTATATTTCATTATTCCATTACGATATCATGGTGTAAATTTCTTGGATACTATTAAAATTGTTAAGTAGTTGATGTAGTTTGAAATTTTCTGAAATCAGCCCTTACAAATGAATTCATCCCTAAAACTCAATCTCAAGTATTATTTTTTCATTACTTGAAAATACCCTAGGACTATTCAGTGGCGTAAAACGTGTAATAATATTAGTTCACATCCTTGGTATTGAATTAGAATTCTTCACCCCACTAATGTATCAACCCCTATTTTTCAATAAAAAAAATGATACCCTTTTCCATATGAAAATACTAGTTTCTTGAGTTTGACGAAAAAAATTTTGGCAATATGCACAATATTCAAATACGAAATCGACTGTTCTCACCTTAATAAAAATAACCTATAATAAGGGGTGTACCAGCCCCACAGGAGATATTGTCGTATCTCTATGATTTTATTCTTTTTCTATGGGACTTTCAAAAGTAATAAAAAATTAATGATTCAAAGTACAAAAAAATTTTAAATTTAATATTTCAATAGTTTCGAGTTTTAATGTTACTTTTTATAATCCTGGCAATAATGATAATCATTAAAAAATGTTTCAAGCATAATGATTTCTTACACCAAGAGCATCTTACAATTGCTGAGTTAGAGCAACCAGGAACTTCACAACGCTCATTACAATCATTACCAAAACTAAAATCTACGGGGTTATCAAATTTATCTGGCTTTGATTCAACGTAGCCACTTTTATACCATGAATATTTGAATAGGTTATTGTATCGAGGAGATGACAATTGATTATGTACCAAGGATTGGAGTTTTATAATGTTATTTCTTTTATGAAGTTCTATATCCTCATTCATTAATGTTACACTGTCCTCGAAGCGACGGACGTAATTTTTCCACACTCGGAAGCCGAAAGCATCTAGTGGCTGAATTTTGCCTGTTGTTCCTTTTGGAATTATTTTTACATCAACAATTTTGTTTGGAGGTGCTGCTTCCTTTACAGCATCAGGGCAATGCCCACTCCACGAATCAATTAATAAGACACTTGAATGCCCAACATTGGAAAAATACACATGCTTCAGCCATGTTTTGAAATGTTCTGTAACCATTGAAAAAACTCATTTTTATTCACATGACATAAGTTAAAAACTGTAATCATCAATAATAAATATCATACCTGAAGTCAGTTTGCCAGAAGCGGAAGGCATCACGTAAATATTTGATGGCTTGAATAATTTGGATTCTACTACCGGTCCAAAGGTTCCTTTACTTTCTTTTAAAACAATGAATAATGGGGAAAGCAGTCTCCCATCACCTGAAATGAGTGGTTGAATTGTGTAACTGTGAGTCGTCGAACTTACAGATTCTACAAGACATTCAATTTGCTTTTCGCCTTCAATAGCTAGTGTTCTTCCCGAGTGCATTTCAATTTGAAATCCACTCTGATCTGAATTGTAAATTGATTCCAAACCTTTGCTTTTAATTATTTTTTTCACATCTGAAACAAAATCATCAGCTGTTTTTTGTAAATATTCTCTCCCTTCAACAGTCTTTTTTGTTACGAATTTATTTATCTTTCTGCTGACTATTCTGTGAGCCTTTTTAAAATTTTGTAGCCAATGACGTGACGCTTTAAACCTTATATCTTCATGTCCAACGATTTTCTGAGCTTGTAATGCCCATTTTTGTAGATCTCTATCGTGAATTATATAACCGGCATCGGAAGCCGACTGAAAATTATCTAATACAAATTTATTGATTCTTCCAATTTTTTCTTTATAAGTGCCTCCTTTATTCAAAGTATGCGCCCATCGTTTCAACTGTGTAATTGATTGGACTTTTCGAAATCTATGCTGCACAGTTTGCAGAGCGAGATTTTTCGTAACTCCGCTTCTCCAATAGTCCACAGCTTTTCGTTTGTAATCCCAAGATAGATCTTCTGTATCCGCTGTACATACTAGTGAGTGTTCATCAACATCCGCTGACCAGATTTTATCAATATCTTCAACAATATGCATTTCAGTATCCTTAAATGGTTCTTGAAAAGCTAATGTAGATTCCACAATGAATTCTGGATCCTCAAAGTTATTTATACAATCAAGTAATAGTTTTTCTATATTATCCTTCAAAGCAATTTCATCTTTAGTAATGGGACTTTCTTGTATATTCATAGCTTGAAAAGATAATAATAATAATTGTATAACATTTATAGGATTAATAGTCATTTTTCCAATACCTAGAAATAATAATTATTATTTGTTTTTTATATGATGAAATCCGAAGCGCATTAATTTGAATATTTTTTTACAAAGTCAGGCAATAATTTTTAATATCATTTAAATCAACATTACACTGACAATTACGTATCAATTTCATTTCTAATTTCTTCGAACGATAATTGAATATTGAAAATTCCAAAATTTCTTGTCCATCTTTGATCCCTCACCAATTCTGGAAAAAGACCACATAAAAATATGAAGTATTGCATTTTATAACTCTTTATAAGCTATATCTAAATCACTAATTAAAAAATTATTTTCGTCAAATACGATGTGAGTATGAAAATTTTTGCGCTTTTTTCTTCGGAAAAATATTTAATTCAAAAATGTAGAGTAAAAAAAATGATTAAAATAATTTTTTATGGTTTCTTTAGATAGGGCTTGTAAAGAGCTGTAAAATAGAGTACTTTCAATTTCTGTGCGTTTTTTGAAAAATGGCGAGGGCATGTATACAATATCTATCAATTACCGCGTTAAGAAATTTTACGTAAAAGGAAATTTTACTTACAATCAGGTAATAAGTATTGACCAAAAATTATATGGTAGAATTAATATGTACGAATTCCAAAATACTATGTTATACTTTGATGAAATTTGAAGTTTGAAATTTGGTTGCACATTTATTGGATTCCAATGTAATTTCTTGTAAATTCAACAAACACTGCACTCACAATTAATATACTGATTCAAACGAGCTCGATGAAGCTCTGACTAAAGTCTGATGATGAGAGGTAATATCGAGTATTTGAGTGTTGTTTTGGCGAGCTGATTGTGAGTTCAAGAGTGTGATCGCATCGTCGAAAAAGGTCTTATCTATCCAAAACATAGCAAGACGATAATTTAACCGTTGAGGTTTTTCCCACCGTCCGATCTCGACAACAACAACAAGAAAATGATAAATT